AATAGCTAAGATGAATGTTTACTAGAGTCAAAGGAAAGCAGGAATATCTGGATTTAATCAGCAAAATTGTGATGAAGCTGTGAGAACATTAGTAATATATCTGATTCAATTTGACCCCATTGTCTTCTTGCCAAGATTGAAGAAGAGGAGCTTCTGATAAGTCAAATGCAAAGAAGGTCCAAAGAAGGGAAGGGTGAGATACCGTGTCCCAATATCTAACATGCTGTGTGTGGAAACGGGAAGCCAAAGGGATGGAGGGAGACATCCTTATCTTTAGCCTTGGCCTTGGCCTAGGCGTCTCTCTGCATGTCCTCCCCCTTGGTTTCCCACCCACTCCTGAGCCTGCTTGCCTGTGCTCTTGGTGGTGGCTCCTTCTTCAGAGTCTGGAGCTCTGGACTCAGCCTCGTGCCTGGGGTCTCTGTGGGCAGACTGAAGTCTCCTCCTACCAGAACAGTTGTCATACTTTACATGTCTCTTGGGCCACCCCTTCTTGATTCTCCTGGTTCAAGATAGGCAGGAGTTGGTCTCCCCAGCAAGACTGGCTATTCCTTGAGGACAGGAATATTTCCCACTGCAGCGTTCAGTACACAGTATGCATCTCAGTGCTAGGAAAGTGGCAAGAACAGAACTTCTAGAGCAGAAAGGAATCTTAAAAACCATGGTACACGAGAGAACTGAGACTTCACATGGTTAAACCATCCACCCACCTGAGTTCACTCCCCTAAAGGGCCCCAGCACTGGCTGCAGGACCAAGTCTTTAGACTGCCAGACTGGTGCCCTTCTGGGGAAGGGGTGGGGGGTTGCTCAGGGCCTCCAGGCAATGAGTGAGTTGAGTGTGCCCAGATGAGTGAGGGAGCTTGGGCTCTGGGTTTATGTAGCTTCTCTGAGCCTCAGATTCATCCTCAGGGTTGTCAGGGGTTAACCGGGGTCATGTCACTTGTGAAGCAATGGTCAGGGGGCCCCCCGCACCCAGTCGGTGCTCAATAAATGTTTCTTTACCACTCATTTCCCTCAATAGGGGATTTGGAATAACGTGGTAAAGACGAAGCGGGCTCGGCTCGGTGTGGGCCGTCAGATGGGCCCTCTGCGGTCAGAGCGGAGGCCTCGCGGTCCTGCCAAGGGTTAAATGCGCTGTGGGCTCCGGGGCGGGTGGCTTTACTTTCCGGGCTCTGTCCTCACTCCCTCTCTCTCTCTGCCCCGCCCCGCGGACTTAGTGATCGCAGAGAGGAAGTGCTTTGCTGCTGGCCCCGCGATCTGACGATTGAACGGTCTCCAAGGAAGAGCCGAGGGGCGTCTGAGTTTAGAAGGTAAGAGGGGCTGGAGAGCTGGGGTAGCTTGAGAAATTGTTACCTTTTAGGGATTCCTTGGGCTCCGGGCTCTGGAGATGGGAAGGGGTGAGTGCACAGCGCGGAGCCCGCCGGCCGCTGGCCGGGCTCTCTGGTCCCGACCACCCCCCCACCCACACCCCGGAATTCCAGGGTTCGCCCGCAGTCAGTCCAGTCCACGCCGTACCTAATCAAGCCGTCTCTCTCTGTCCAGCACTAATGGTGAGAGCGAGAAAACGAAACCGAAAGCAGGCTTGTACCTGACAGCTATTTTACTTGGGGGTTTCTTCGACTTCCCTTCTCTGCTCCTTTCTTTAGACCAGCCTGTCTCACACCTCCTTTGTTTATTCCTTTGGAATTCTGCTTTATGATCACTTGGGTCCTGAGCATTTTTGTTTGTTTGTTTTGTTTGCAAATTTTAATTTCCTAT